TTTTTGGGGGGGGTTTAATTATTTTTTTTTTTTGTTTTCTAAATTTAACACGAAGGAATTTTCTCTCCTGTCGTGTCCCCTCACCAGGGGAGGGCAGGGCACTCCTCCCCTGCTGCGTGGCCAGTGGTGCAGCTCTTATTTCTCTTATTTCTCACCTTCTCTCCCTCATTTCTCTCCGTTCTTGCCCCTAAACCAGTTCTGGCACCGGGACAGGCAGCGCTCCACGATGCTGGAGGTGCGGCTGTTCAGCCGGAACGAGGAGCGGGATTTGGAGTCCTTGGCCGTGTCCTTGATGTCCCCAACTCCCGGGACACCCCGAGCCGTGCACGCCCCCGGGGCTGAGGGCTCCGTGATGCTCGGGGACACCGTAAATCCCGAGGGCTGAGCAGGGCAGGGCTCGCCAATCGCCACCTCCTGAGCGCAGCGAGGCTCCAGCACCTCCAGGGTGCAGGGTTCCCCCAGACACACGTCCTCCAAGCAGCTCCCGAGTGTCTCGGCCGTGCAAAGCTCGTCCGGAGGGAGGGACATCCCGGTGCCGTCCGAGGGGCAGAGCTCCACGGTCAGGATGTTGTGCTGCAGGGGGAAGGTCATCACGCACATGCCGGGCGTGTCGATGGTGCAGGGCTCCATGGCCGGGCCGGGCAGCTTCACGGGGCAGCTTTCCACGCAGCTCCCACCCGGGGTGTCCGCTGGAGGGGCCGTGGGCTGGAAGGGCGAGCACAGAATTCCGGTTGGAAAAGCCCTCCGAGGTCACCGAGTGCGCGCCCCGTGGCCAATTTTTGGCACCCCCTCTCCATCCCAGAGCACCCAGTCCTTGGACACCTCCAGGGATGGGCAACTCCATCATCATCCCCTGGGCCTGACCACCTTTTCCATGAGGAAATTCTTCCCAGTTTCCAGCCTGAACCTCCTCGAGGGGAATCCCGAGGGCACCCACGTGAACTCACACAGGGGCAGCCGGGCCCAACCTGAGGGCAAACATCTCCCCCCTGGCACGGGCAGGGATCCACCTGGAAGCTCTGCTCGGGGCAGGAGGGTGCAGGGCACGGCTCTGGGTCCCCCCTGGCACACGGGGAGGGGCAGGGGCCGGTCTGTGCAGCAGAGCTGGGCAGTTGGCACTGGGAGCTCATCCTGCCACGCTGAGGGTGAGCTGAAAGAAAAAGAGCGATTTTTTTATGGCTATTCCTCCCCCTCCCCACCAAAAAAAAAAATCAGACATTCAGTGAAAACTTCGGTGGTTCTGTTGTTCTCCTGCCTGAACTCCCCTAAAAAAAAAAAGCAGCTTTTCCTTTCAGGATCTGTTTTCAGCCAAAGTTTCAACGATATTTTCTCGGGAGAGCGGCGGATTTCCAGGTTTATAAATTTCCAGCTGATCCCTTCCCTTCTCCAGGTGATTCCTCCTTGTCCTGGAACTCTGCTGGGAATACCCAGGGGTGTAGCTGTTCCTGTCCTACCCCTGCCATGACTAAAAGCAGCAACAGGACAGACAGGTAAGAGCAAGGTGGAGTTGTTCAGGTTCCCCACGAGGCTGGACACGCTCACCTGGCACTCCAGAGGTGCTGCAGCCACTTCCCTGCTTAGACTATCACAACAATTTGGGCAAAAGGGTGGTTTTATCCCTCTCAACCCCAGCACTGGGACAGCAGGAAGGCTTTTGAAGAGCATCCATGGGAATTCCAGCAAAGCCAGCACGAAGGAAGGTCGTTACTCCTCCAAAACCCTTCCCCCCAAGGAGGCTGAGAGCCAACAAATTCCCCCCTTTCCCCCAGGAATCCATTTCAGGGGTGGGAAATCAGGAGCAGCAGCAGCAGGCTGGGATCTGCAGGATCCCCAAAAGGACTTACCCAGCTGAGGATCAGGACAGGATGAAGCTGGGATGTGCCTGGTGTGTCCTCTGGCCTCGGGAGCTGAGGAGCCCCAGGCACCCCGGCGAGTTCCCCATCCCAAAATCCGGCCTCGCTCCGCCTCTGCCCCGTGATGGATTATTTGACTAATTATTTTTAATGGAAACCGGGCTGGAGCCCAACCTGGAGGGAGCTGGGGGTGGCTTTTTGGGACTCCACCACGTGTCCCCCTCCGAAGAATTTGGGAAATGAGTGGACTCCCTGCCTGCTCTCCAACAGTCACGGGGCTGTTTTGGGGGGATGATGCTCAAACACCCTCCAGCCCAACAAACACATCATGAGGGCCATTAGGGCCAGGATGGGATGTGGGATTTGGGGGATTCTTTAATTTTTAGCCACGTCTGACCTCCTTCTGTGCCTGCCACTGTCCTGTTTGGACATCTCAGATATCTTACATATCAGCCCTTCGTTTGGGGAGGTTTTGCATCTGCTCCTGAAGTTCTGAGTCCAAACAGCATCTCCACTGCCATGAGGTTGCCTTTGCCCTCGTGCCTGAAGGGCAGGTGGGTGGTGGAGGGGGTGACAACCCCCCTTTTCATCCCTCTGCTTCCCCCCAAAAATCAGCTGAGTTCCACCAGTGCCAATCCCAGTGGTGGGCAGCAAACTCTCAGTCCAGTCAGGGATCCCAGATTTATCTATTTCTGCTTAACAAGCCAAAAGTCTCCACCCTGGAAACGCTCAAAGGAGGAAGAGCAGGCGCAAGGGCACACCTCGGTCTGCAGGTGAAACATTCCCTCGCTTCTGTGGGCAAGAAATACTGGTCTGATGTTGTGTCACCGAGCGACTTCGGGCTGGTTTGCAGCGAGCAGAGCAGGAGGTTTCACAGCCTTTGATCTCCACTGCTTGGCTCTCTCCCTTCCCCTCTTGTAAAGAGGGATTTTCAGCCAGGAACAGGAGCTGGGGGAGGTGGGAAGTCGCAGATGGGATCAAAGTTGGGGTGGGCACAGGAATGTGGGCACAGGAGGAGGGCAGGGGGTTGCCCCTCTGTGCTGGGCACCAGGGCTGGGTCCCTCAGGGCAAGAGAGACATGGAGAGGCTGGAGAGTGTCCAGAGCAGGGAATGGGGCTGGAGACACTCCTGAGGGAGCTGGGGGGGCTCAGCCTGGAGAAAAGGAGGCTCAGGGGGGACCTTGTGGCTCTCTGGAATTCTCTGACAGGAGGGGGGAGCCGGGTGAGGGGCAGGATCTTCTCCCAGATAATGACACAGGACAAGAGGAAACGGCCTCCAGCTGTGCCAGGGGAGGGTCAGGTTGGCCATCAGGAGGAATTTCCCCATGGAAAGGGTGGTCAGGCCTTGGCAGGGGCTGCCCAGAGGGGTGGGGGAATCCCCACCCCTGGAGGTGCCCAGGGAAGGCCTGGCTGTGGCACTGAGTGACACGGTGGGGACGGGGCACAGGGTGGACTCCACGGGCTGGGAGGTCTTTTCCAGCCTCAGGGACTCTGTGAATTCAGGTTCTGGTGCCACACTGCTCTAGGTCGAGGAGAAGGGATGTTATGGAGCTGCCCAATTCCCTCTCAGTGTTCCCAAACCCCAACAGTCACGGGGTGGGGTGGTGATTGCTCCCCCTCATCTGATTGCTGAGTCCACTTTGGGTCCCCCAGCACCAGAGAGTTTCCAACAGATTGGACTGACCCCACTGGACACCACCATGATTCTTCCAGGCCTGCAAGTCTGGCAAGGAGGGGAAATTGTGACCTGATTTTTTAGGGGTAAAATTCTCAGCTGGAGGACTAATTGTGTGTCTGGTAAGAACAAGGGGAGCTCCTCCAAGAGCAGAGGACAACAAAGCCACTTCCACAGTCCTGTTTATTCCTGGGCTCTGGGGCTGCCTCAGGAGGTGCAAGAAAACATCCCTAAATAACTTTTATCCAAACAAAGTTTAATCCTGGGGGGGGTGGGGGGGGATATTTTCCAGGCTGTATCATCCTTTACTTCCCTGCCCTCCGTAGGAAATGCGTGGATGGGGAATTCCAGCAGTCCTAGTGTCCCACTCTGGGCAGCATTAAAAATTATAATGGAAGCAGGGTATAATTGAAGGACTGGAGGTGGAACAGGTCTGGATTATTAAAAAATTGGATTTCCATACCCCTGAGGTGGCTCACTTCCGGGGACACCGACCCCGAAATCATATAAAAGGGTTCCCATTGTGGCGTTTTTCAAACCATTTTGGGTTTCATTTGGGGCTTGCTGGTGGTGAATTGGGTAAGTCTGGCTTGGTTCTTGCTGGGGAGTCACGTAGTGGTTGGATTTATTTCATTTCCAAGCGTTGCAGAAGCAACTTGAAAGACTTTTGGGTGCTTCTGGTCGGTGAGATTTGTGTGTGTGTGTGTGGGGGGGCTTATCCAGCAGCTGAGCTGGGGGTAAATATTAATTCCATCTCCTACCAGGCTTTGTTTGCCGCGTGTTTTTGCTCTTCCTCCACCAAGAGTGGACCAACCTCTCTCCCTTCCCCGGCGATTTTGCTCCCCTGTCTTAACCAGGGAATCGCTGGGGCTCGGGAGAGATCAAAAGGCAACATTAGGACTTCAAAGGGGAAAAAGTGGGAGGGGAGATAAGAAGAGGAGACTTTCAGGCTGCCAGGGCGAGCCATGCCTGGGAGGGAGTCTGGATGAGAAGAACCAGGACTTCTGTGGGAGAGCTGGGAAAGCAGCTGCTCTGGCAGAGGCAGATCCTTTCCCCGGGGAAGTTTTCCAGGATGGGATCCCCCCCACACACACAATCCTCTGGCTGAGGATCCGAGCGTGGACAGGGCGAGGTCAGAAGCTGAACCATCTCCTTTTTTTGGGTGGAAATAGGGAAGTGAAGCCAAAGATGAATCCCAAACCAAGGGGAGCTTGGGGTTGTTGTGTCTTCAGACCTCGCAGTAGAACCCAGCTGAGTCTGAGGAGCTTTCCTTTCCTGAAACCCCTTCAAGGGGATTTCACCCCCTGCTACGGATTTCGGGCTGTTTTTCCCAGCTCAGGGTTCCACTGGAAAAAAAAAAAAGGGATAATTCAGCTCCGTGCATAAAACAGCCTCGGGAAAGCTGGATGCAACGCCCGTTTCTCACATCGTTCTTTCCTTCTTTCAGCCTCCTCCCCTCCCCTCCCCTCGAAGATGCGTCTCCGAAGCGGCTGCCCCACTGCCCAGCTCTGCATCCCCCCTCCCGCCGTCCTGGTGAGGAGCTTCCCCGTGAAATCCCGCCGAGATCCCTCTTGTGGCACCTCCTGCAACTTCCAGCAGAGCTTCTGTTTGCCCCCTCGTGGGAGTCGCTGCTGCTACACCGGAGTCCCCCAGGGCAGCACCACCTACGTCAACCTGGGCGGGCTGGGGCTGGCACAGGGAGCCTGTGGCTTGGCCGTGTCCACGCGTGTCCCTCCCTGCTGCCAGGGGGTGGGCAGCTGCAGTGCCAGCTGCAGGGATCCCTGCTGCTCCCAGGTGTGCCAGGGCAGCGCCACGTGCCAGGATCCCTGCTGCCAGGAGGTGACCAAGTGCACCACAACCTGCCAGGATCCCTGCTGCCAGGAGGTCACCAAGTGCACCACAACCTGCCAGGATTCCTGCTGCCAGGAGGTCACCAAGTGTACCACAACGTGCCAGGATCCCTGCTGCCAGGAGGTGACCAAATGCACCACAACCTGTGTGGATCCCTGCTGCCAGGAGGTGACCAAGTGCACCACAACATGCCAAGATCCCTGCTGTAAGGAGGTCACCAAGTGCACCACAACATGCCAAGACCCCTGTTGTAAGGAGGTCACCAAGTGCATCACCACGTGCCAGGATCCTTGTTGCAGGGAGGTGACCAAATGCACCACCACCTGTGTAGATCCCTGTTGCAAGGAAGTGACCAAGTGCACCACGACATGCCAAGATCCCTGTTGTGTGACCAGATGTACCACCACGTGCCAAGACCCCTGTTGCAAGGAGGTAACCAAGTGCATCACCACGTGCCAGGATCCCTGCTGTCAAGAAGTGACCAAGTGCATCACCACGTGCCAAGACCCCTGTTGCAAGGAAGTGACCAAGTGCACCACAACTTGTCAAGACCCCTGCTGCAAAGAGGTGACCAAGTGCATCACCACGTGCCAAGATCCCTGCTGCAGAGAGGTGACCAAATGCACCACCACGTGTGTAGATCCCTGCTGCAAGGAAGTGACCACGTGCACCACAACTTGTCAAGACCCCTGTTGTGTGACCAGATGTACCACCACGTGCCAAGATCCCTGCTGCAGAGAGGTGACCAAGTGCATCACCACGTGCCAAGATCCCTGCTGCAGAGAGGTGACCAAGTGCATCACCACATGCCAAGATCCCTGTTGCAAAGAGGTGACCAAGTGCATCACCACGTGCCAAGATCCCTGTTGCAAAGAGGTGACCAAGTGCATCACCACGTGCCAAGATCCCTGCTGCCAGGAGGTGACCAAGTGCGCTACTAAGTGTGTGGATCCCTGTTGCAAGGAGGTGACCAAATGCATCACCACGTGTGTAGATCCCTGCTGCAGAGAGGTGACCAAATGCACCACCACCTGTGTAGATCCCTGCTGCAAGGAAGTGACCACGTGCACCACAACTTGCCGAGATCCCTGCTGTCAAGAAGTGACCAAGTGCATCACCACGTGTGTAGATCCCTGCTGCAGAGAGGTCACCAAGTACATCACCAGATGCCAAGATCCCTGCTGTGTCACCAGATGTGCCACCAGGTGTGTGGATCCCTGCTGCCAGGAGGTGACCAGATGCACCACCAGATGCCAAGATCCCTGCTGTGTGACCACCTGTGCCACCAGGTGTGTGGATCCCTGCTACTGCAAGAAGGTGTCCAAGTGCTCCACTAAATACGTGGATCCCTGTGGCAAGAAAATGCCCAAGTGCTCTCTTAAGGGTCTGGATCTGTTTGGCAAGAAAGGGGCCAAGAGCAGCAGCAGGTGCGTGGATCCTTGTTGCAAGAAAGGGGCCAAGCGCAGCACGAGGTGTGTGGATCCCTGCTGTGACAGGGTGACCAAGTGCATCACCAGGTGCCAAGATCCCTGCTGTGTGACCAGATGTGCCACCACCTGCGTGGATCCCTGCTGCCAGGACGTGACCAAGTGCACCCCGAGGTGTGTGAATCCCTGCTGCTGCTGCAAAGTGACCGAGTGCACCAGCAGGTGTGTGGATTCCTGCTGCCAGGAGGTGAGCAAGTGCATCACAACCTGCCAGGATCCCTGCTGCAAAGAGGTGACCAAGTGCATCACAACCTGCCAGGATCCCTGCTGCAAAGAGGTGAGCAAGTGCATCACAACCTGCCAGGATCCCTGTTGTGTGACCAGATGTGCCACCACGTGCCAGGATCCCTGTTGTGTGACCAGATGTGCCACCACGTGCCAGGATCCCTGCTGCCAGGGGGTGACCAAGTGCATCACCACTTGTCAAGACCCTTGCTGCAAGGAGGTGACCAAGTGCATCACAACTTGCCAAGATCCCTGCTGCCAGGGCGTCACCCGCTGTGCCACCACGTGCCAAGATCCCTGCTGCCAGGGCGTGACCCAGTGTGCCACCACATGCCAGGATCCCTGTTGTGTGACCAGATGTGCCACCACGTGCCAGGATCCCTGCTGCCAGGGGGTGACCCAATGCACCACCACGTGCCAGGATCCCTGCTGCCAGGGGGTGACCCAATGCACCACCACGTGCCAGGATCCCTGCT